TTCTCTTTCACGTTCTATAAGCATATTATATAAATATAATATTATATACGAGAATTTTCCGTTGATGTTTTTGTAAAACGAGCATGGGTCTGCTTTACTTTGTTTAAATGACATGTTTAGAAGTATTTTTCCAATTTTTAGATTCCAAGCTCTAGCGGCTTGTTTTAAACCATATACAGTCAAAAGTCGTTAATCCGGACCTCAAAGCTACAAACTTTCTGCACATGCATCAATGCATAATGCGTTCACGCATGCCGTGGGCGTAATACTTTTGCGCAGAATATGTTTATGCATGCGCATTTAGTGTATAATGGATGGTATAAGCTAAGCTAAAATTATCTATTTCAGTTAATGTTGCAGATTGCGTTGTTCCTTAATCTTCGAATCGGATCCGGCTTATTATTTTTTGCAGACTATTAGAGCAATTTTATAAAAGTAATCTTGAACTTTCAATTAGAATTCCCGATGCTGGAGCTGCCAAAGGACCCACAAAGCGAAAGTATGTTTCGATATCTATCAAACAAAAAGTGGAATTGCTGCAAAAAATGGATAAAGGCATGACCATTCCGAAATCTGTTTATCAATTTCACGCTGCTCTGCAAGGGGGGGGGGACGTAAAGGAAAATAATTTTTAAAAAACGCTAAAGGATAAAAAAAGCTTTTATTGCAAAACTGCAAGAAAGAACAATGAACAATAATGTAGTTGAAAGATGAAATAACTTATGATACAATGGGGGGGAAAATCAATAAATTAAACTGAATAAGAATACGAATGAAAAAGGTAAACGAAACTAATACAAGAAAAGTACAACGGGATTTGTTTATTATATAAATATAAGCTGTTACACAATGCTTGTAAACAAATAAAAGCGAACTGCCGATTTATACAAGAAACACAATAATTAAACATCATTTTCGAGTATAAGTTGAAAATGTTAATTAGTACAATGTAATTCTAAACTAAATTCAGTTTGGAAACAAATAAAAACTGAATAGACTATGAACTGATTATAGGCGTGCATTTGCTGCTAAGGCGTATTTTCATTATGACGCTATGTCAATAGTTAATATTCCAACATACGACATTTATTTAGCTACGAAATTTCACCATAATATGTTTCCCTAGTTTAGGGAAGAGAGAATAAATTTTCCCCTAGTCTCTTATCTGAAAATTAACAAAGGCGACCTACAGGAAAGTTGCAAAAGAGTAGTAGTTTCCCTTTACAATGGCAGCTAAAAGGGGGTGGAAATTTAGATTTTCCGTCTTTTAAGTGAAACCTTTCCAAACTCCGTCTCTTAAAGTATTAAAGTAAACCTTTAACAGTATTTATTTAACAATATAAATTTGATGCAGTGTCTATTAAAAAATAACTTCTTATTAAGTGAAACATTTTTATCTCCAGCACGTGAGACTGTATATTGGAAATTCTAAAAATATGCTCTTTTTAAATATTTTGTGATATTGCTGTTGAATTGAATTTTATGGTTTAAGTGCGAAGAACATGATATTTAATAAATAAAGGTAGCACACAAAATGTTGAAAAAAAGATCCCTTTGGGGAGTAATATCAAATCTGAAAGCTTTCAGATTTTTAGTCATTTCTGTGTTTTAACAACAAACAGTGTAATTTATTGCCAGTAATGGATAAGCATGGCATAAGATTATGTTCACAAGAACTGGAGCCTGTATAAGAGACTGCCTGTGATGGCTGGTATTTGCTGTTATTTTTAAGCTTATAAGCAGCAGAATTATGTTAATTTTCTACATCTCTTACAAATTATATAATATCTACCATAATATTTCACTAGCTATTCAAAACACCGGTGTGTGAAATGTAGTGCAAGTCTGTTAGCAGGCGAGGCTTAGATGCAAAAGTACCGTAGTTAATAGTTTGATATTTTAACTCTTCTTCTTCTTCTTTTTTTTTTTTTTTTTTATAAGTGCGAAAAGTGAAAGTTTAGATTTTTTTAAGAATAAAAGCTATATTCCTAAAAAATTAAAATAATTTTTTTATTCTGAATTAAATTTATATAACAGTTTGCCCAACTTCTAATATATAAGCAAAATGTGTAGTTTATAATAGAGTCAAAGTGAGAGGTGTCTGATGCCATGAGCCATGGAAATGAAGAAAAATTGCTTAAGCTTAGAATTGACAGAATACATTGCCTTTACTTTATTAGAGGCCCTGATAAGAACTTTGCTTTTATCTAGGCCTGAACTTCAGCAATCTTGGCTAGTTTAGTTTTTTTTTTTTTTTTTTTTTGGTGTGCGTGCGGTGTGTGTGTGTGTGTGGGGTAGCATTTTGAAAAAATGATTAAAATTTGGGAGCTGCCTTCTACAGAACAGCAAGAAGTTTCAAAATTGCTTCTGTGAGTTATATTGATGCACAAGCTCAAAGCAATAAAGACTGTAGAATTTGCGGAAATGAGGCAATAAAAGACATCACAGAACAGCATGATTCCTATTTAAGTGAATTTATGTGACATTGAGTTCATAGAGAAGGTGACACTTTTGTTATTATATATCCCGAAAGGGTATTTGACTGCTGGAATGTTCGGATAAGCACGGAGTTGGATTACATTCATAAGAATTAGAGCCTTCTGTAAAAGACTACCTCTGATGACTAGTTGCAGTGAATTTCTTTATTGTATAATCTCAAACTTGAGCTTTTAGCTTTCAAAGTTTTTATCTCTTCATTCAAACTTCCACAGGAAGTGATATCTCAGAAATTTCAAATTCATGACTGCCATTGTCATCATCATGAAATATGGTCATAAATTATGCCAATTTTTTTTAAATGTCTGCTGACACATTCTTTCATGAACTTGACATAGCAGATTTTATGTTAAAATATTTCAAAAATTCTTAAATTGTCTTTACACTGTTCAGAAGATTTAGCACAGATTTTAAGAAGTCTGCTTCATATCTGTATTCCATTCCTTTTGAGTCTGATATCTACTGGCTGAATGATGACTGTACAGTTAAGGAGGAAAAAATATAATTGTTAAAACAGGGTTTGTAAGGTCCTCAAGAGTCCTTAGATTTTTTGGAATCGATTTTTGGCCCTAAAAAGTCATTAATTTTGGCCAAACTCAGCAGAAGGTCATTAATTTTAATCATCTGAAATTTCTGTCTGTTTTTACGATTGCCATTTTGAGTGTGAATTAGCATTTTGGAGGAATATTTTTGGTGATTCACTGACATATATGTTTATCTTTTTAATGGGTTCTTGAGTTATAATTTGTTTCTATTTCTAATATAAATGATGGGATATTCGAGTTTCTAAGCAAGAAGTGAAACATAAGCATGTTGAAATTCATTTTTTCTAATAAAGAGCTCTTAAACAACTTTTCACTTTTGGGGATGTGAATTCTTTTATTAAATGGTTCTAAATTTGGCAAGTATCAACATTTTGGTGATTTTAAGATCTATAGAAAATTTTAAATTTCAGACAATGTAATGCCAGCTGAAAGGGTGTGCAAGTGCATTCCTATTTCCCATCTTTTTAAGTGAACATTGCTTTGTATGATGCTGATACAACTTCACTCTGGAGAGTGTGTGCACAATTAGACCATAAATCTCCTCAAAACACACACCCCCCCCCAAAAAAAAAAAAAAAAAAAAAAAAAATCTCTCAGGAGTAATGATCCAGGCCACAGTTAACCAAGATAAGTGTGTCTTGTTGTTGACATCTTATGACAATTTTCAAATCGGCGACTCTGTCTTGGGGGAAATAGTAAAGTGGTTAAAACTATTGTGTTCTCAAGAACGTATAAGAAATTCTTTGCTTTTCACTGCCAGAATGGGTTGATAGATCTTTAATGATACATTGGTACTATTTAAATTGTGAATGTATTAACAAAAGCAGTTTTTTTTAATCCATTTGTTTTGAAACTGGGCATTAGTTTGATTATATTTTAAATATCCAGGTAATTATTAAATTGCTGTCAGTAACTGTGAAATTGACAAATAGAAGAGATTATTTTGAGTGATCTGTAAACAAATGTAATATTAGATCTGCAAAAAATTAATATAAATAATATATGTATATTACACATCTTTTATAAAGATGTAATCAAGACCGTATGATAAATTATATGTCACATTAAGGAAGGACAAAATTAGTTTTAGAAAGAATGGTTAGCTATTGCTTTAAAAAATTACCTTTATATTAAGAATTTGGGATTTAATTTATTACAGAGTTAGTTCAGAAAATGTTTTATTTTTTTAATCAAATAAAAGTTTCAGTGATTTCCTTAATACAAATTTGATGCTTTTACTCAGATTAAAGAGTGGTCATCTTAGAGAATGTTATTAATTATCATTATTGATATTTATTTATGTTCATAGAAATATTGGTCACTTTCAGCGATGGTCCTCACAAAAGAGTTTACTGCTATGTTGAAAAATGCTGGAGATTTCTAATTTATTATATATACACACATGAACTTTGAAGTGTTATTGATAATTTAGAAATTGTTAAAAGCAAAAATGGGAAATGAAAGACTGCAAGGTAAAAATGATAAAAAGTTTTTTAAAAATTGAAAAGAGATTTAAAATGTAGCATTTGATTGTTATATGGAATATAATCATATTAACAAGTATGCTGTTTTTAGAATGTGCTAATAATAACAAGCTCATTTAAAAATTTATTTAGAAAAGTAAGTTAAATTACTGAAACTCTAAATAATATAATAAAAGCTTTTAGTTGCATATAATTTAGTTAAAAGTTAGTTGGGTGATAAATTATTTTGTGTGCATTAGTATTTTTTGCTGGAGTTGAAAAACAGCAAGTGGTATATAAAATACTAAAGTGCACTTTCTGAAAGGTTAAAGGGATTTTATTCATAATCCAAATAGGCCTTAAAAATATGTCTATTTAATGTTTATGTGTATTTCATATAGGTATGTATGTGCCTATATATAATAGACTTTTTTTTTGTATTGTTCTCAATTTAACCCATATCTTGTATTAAAATTGATCCATTTTGAATATTTAGGTTTCTTTATCGGAATACAGATTGAGAATGCGAGAGAGCATCAACAGGGTTAAAGGCCTTGAAACTACCCAAAAACGTACAAGTGCTTCTAAAATATGTGCAACAGCAATACCAGAAAAATTGCCAGAACAGGTTACTCTTGCACCTTTGCCTTTATTTGATACTAGTGTCACACCTGGGAGTTCTCCACATTCTTCTTCTAAATGTAAGGAAATAAGCTTACTTGGGCCTCAAACTGCATTTCTTAGATATATTTTTTTCCCCTTTCTTAATCCCATGTTATCAATTTTTTGCAATTTGTTATTTTCTTAATAATTGAAGCTGTTATTTTTGCAGTAAAATCTCTTCCCCCCTCTTTATTTATAAAGCAAAACCTGATAAAATTCTACTTCTAGAAAGGTATTATCGTATGTTATTGACAAGAATTATTTACAGTGCATAAAATGCATTATTGTTTTTATAATTGCTTTATGAATGTTAGTATAGAAATAGACAGAAATTAATCAGTCACTGTTCATGGAGGGCTAATCCAGTCATAAAACAGCATGTAGCCTAAAAGCCGTTGCTATTCGACATGAAATCTTTTTATTTAAAATTAGATGAACTGAAAATATTTGTGTAATACGTACATTTTATTATATCCTTAATATGTATATTACCAATGATTAAATAGAAATTAATTTAATTTCTGTAATTTATAATATGAATTCATTTTTAGTGGAATTTAAAAAAATTTGTAATTCAGTAGTTATAACCAAATACAATCAAAAGGGATGTGTCAGTATCTAAACAACCTTTCAAAGTTCAATCTTGTAGATGTTTAAAATTTGGCAAAAAATCACCTTAGTGTAGACTTTGAATAACATTTGAAGGGAAATCGAACACAGGTCCATCTTCTTTAATAGCAAAAAAATGTTTGCAAATGCTAATCTTGTAGATACTTGATATGTGCACCATCTGTGCCATATGCATCACAGAGGCAGGTAATCTGTTTAAACTTGTAGAGTATATATATATATATATATATATATATATATATATATATATAGGCTTGGGTACTTCTGCTTGATATTTCATGTGAAATCTACATTGTATCTTTCACAGCTGATTAGCATTTAGCTCATTCTAAGGGGCAATAAATTCTTGTGTTCTCCTGTGAATGCCATACTTCTGTTGTGTTTGTTACCTAGTGGCATTCATAATTATGTGATAAGAGTTGTAATGAATGCAAATGTGAAGACATTCTTTATGTACTCCTATGCACCTTTTGTGGTATGTGACATGGTTAATATGGTAAAAACTTCCCAAACTCCAGAAATAAATCAGTCTATATATCTATTTCATTATAATTATAAACATTTGTTTTAGAGAATGTTTCTGAAGATATGCAGAATCTTCATTTGTGCACTGCTAGTCATGGGCTTTCTTCCCTCTTATCTTTTCTTTCTTTACTTTTTTTTTAAATTTTTGGTTTCCTTAAGGTCACAAATGCTTCATTATTTCATAAAGAACTATTTTATATTTTTTTATTTTATAATTTCTTCATGTGTCATCTTACTAGATTTAAACTGATCATCTAATATCAAGAAAAATCCGTAATTGCCGAAGTCCCGACAAGTCCAGATCTCAGACTTTATACATTTTTTTTAATATTAAAAACGTTTGGTTATAATTTAATTTGTATCAGTGTTAAATGTGATTACATTAAGTGCAAGTAACAATATTTAAATTGCAATCTTTTAAACATTCATTTTTTAGGTATAATTTCTATATAATATATATAATTGATATTCCTAGCTGTTTATTTCAGTTTAGTAATTGATTCTAATAATTTAAAGCAGACATGATGACAAAATTTATAATTCCAGATCCATTAGGTAGTGTCAGAATTACTCTGTTTACTGTGTGGATTACAAGATAGTGATCTTTTTAGTATGGTAAAGCTAATTGTATTCATAAAAAATAAGCAAGGAAATCTCTACATATTTTGGTACAATCTTCTTATGCATTAAGTAGAAACAATACAGGAAAACTAGTTCCAGTAATAGAAAAACAAATAATTAATTTTGTGGAACATAATGGGTTTTATGATTTTTAATATTAGAAAAAATTAACAACTATTAAGAAAGTTGGCTCTCTCTGTATCATTAGAACAGATTTTTGGTAGTTTAATTTTTAATTTAAGATATAATAGATGATCTTAAGCAGAGAAACTGATGAATAAAAAGGATGAGAAGTACAGTTCCTTTGGAAGCCAAAAAACACACAGCCATTTATCGATTTGTGACACAATGAATTATCATGCAACTGACTTTTATCCTTTTGTTGTAGTAGATCCTTAAAATATATTTATAACAACTTTAAAACTTTTAAGTAGAATTTCAAGAAAGCGTTCTTTGTGAATGATTCCACTATAATTGAAAAATATAATAAGCATTGCCATAATTTCTGCAGGTGCTTTTCCTTAGGTTAATATTACTCCGGACTGTTCCAAGCTGCATTTTGATGTTGTTATAAGTTTTCTTTCTTTCTTTCTTTCTTTTTTTTTTTTTTGAGGCAATTAATAATTGCAAACCAATGAAAACACTAACTGGTTTCATGGTATTTTTATAGGGGAACTGTCAAAAGTACTCCCCAGATAAGATCTTCAGTGATTGGTACATTATTTCACTTAACTAGCAAAATTTAAGAGATGTTTTAAACTCTGTCGTCATTGCAATTTGAGCATGCATAACCTTTAAGTTTTCATTGTAATCTGCTTAGCAATCTGAAACAATGAAAATAAATAAAACGGAAAAGGGCTAAATGTAGTTACCATAAACTTGTTGGAGTATATCGTAATCAAATTTTATATTCTGTTATTGCTTATTGTCCTTCTTCCCAAACATAGTTACCCAAACATAGTTATGCAGAAATGATAAATCATTTTTAAATTAATGTCCAGCAGAGTAAGAATATTATATTACATGATATAATAATTAATTTTATGTTATTTAATATCTGACACTTTATCAAAGTGAACTATGTTTTCCCCTACCTTCAGTTCAAGACCCTTGTGAGTAGAGAGAAAATAATAATATGAGAAATAATATGACAGATACATTAGTTATACATTTTTTTAATATTAAAAACGTTTGGTTATAATTTAATTTGTATCAGTGTTAAATGTGATTACATTAAGTGCAAGTAACAATATTTAAATTGCAATCTTTTAAACATTCATTTTTTAGGTATAATTTCTGTATAATATATATAATTGATATTCCTAGCTGTAAAAAAGAAAAATGAAATGGTTAAATCTGCTGAAGAAGAAACCAAGAATGAATGTATAGAGTACAGAGGAAATCTAACAGAACGTTTAAAACGTGAATTTGGTTTCGATGATGATTTAGGAGGTATTGTTGTTCGTTTATTGAATCTGGAATTTTATTTGCAGTCATACATATTTTTTTTTAAGTTAATGAGTGAATTTCCATTCAAATGAATTATTACTAGTCATAGTTAAAATTTTATAGTAGTGCAAATGTTCATTATTGATTGGCTTTTTTGAATCTTGCAGAAACGTAACTTTTTATAAGCGTGATTGGCATCTATTTATTTGGCTATTTGCCATACTGAAATCAGTAAATTTCTTATATTGTAAAAAGAAAAAAAGCTAAAATTTCATTTAATCTGAAATTCAATAAATAACTAGCTTTTATTCTACGATAAGCTGTGTTGTATATATTACATATTGAGTTATACTAATTTTTTCAGTTATACTAATTCTCAGTATTACTCAATATACTGAGTAATATTGAGGTACACAGTATAAATTAAAATTCAAAATGTCAATTTTTTTAAAATCTTTCTCTTAGCTCTGTAATCTGTAATCTCTTAGCTCTGTAAATTTTTTTAAAATCTGTAGGATTCTCTTGAGACTGAAATATGATTGTAATATGTTTGATTTTCTAATAGCTGTGATTATGGATGTTTATAGTAAAATTGTACTTAGTTGTTTTATTGATTTTCAAAATTTGATAGATTTGCACCATATATAATTTATCAGCCCTTTCTTTTATTTTCTTTATTTTTTTAATATAGAGATTTAAGTATATGTTTGCATTTAATTTCTTTGCATGAGAATTACAAATTTTCACTCTCAACATGTATTTTTGTAATATCATAATGTAAAACAAACTAAATATCAATTGAATGACCTGAAATTAATTATTGTATGCTAAGGCTGTATTTATTATTTTGAGGATGATAGATTAAAAAAGAAAGAATTCAACAGAATGTCAACTATTAGACAACAAATAAATTAACAAGTTTAAAAAAAAATAAGTAACTTGTTTTAGGAAGAACAACAAGCACTCTGGATTTTTTTCCTACCCAAATCATTGGAGACTGCTCATTAATTGTCATTTGGTGAGAAAAATAAGTGTTTTTCTAATAATTTTCATGTCAAATCTGCTGCTGTATCTAAAAATCTTTAAGGTAGGGTGATCAAAAGTAAGAATCTTCAAAAGGAAAAAACAGATTAGCAGATTAGATTTCCATGTTTTGTTCTTGCATGCAAAAACTTTTTTGAAAATTAATTTCTTATGCAGTTGATGATCAAAATAAATAGTTATGTTTCAATGTAAAATGTTATCTTTTCCCTCCCCTTCACAATAAGAAATTCTATTTTTTTTTTTTGCCACAACTACTTCTCTGTGCATATTTTTTTTTCCCTTCCCCAAATATGCTATTTAACCCTTTCACCGTCCCCGAAAATTTCCCCCCAACGGCCGTCTGTTTTTCATAGTGTGTAATGTTGTTTTCTCTGCACATCATAACTTTCCATACATGACTTTCGTAGTGGATGAATGTCAATGAATATAAAGTAAAATTATAAGGAAATAAAGCATAATAGAAAAATAATAATATCTCTGCTTATTTCTAACAGCAGGATAATTTGATAACATCTGATCCAGGCAGTTCACTCCTCCCATTTTGTTGTAATCTTTTACAATTATTGGTTTTTTCAGAGTTCTTTTCCGTGTTCCAACATCAATCATCAAGTTATTGTGAACTGTACTCATCAAACGTATATCCTTCTTGTCTTTCCAATTCACAACCTCATTTTTTCTCTTTTTCTGCTGAGTAGACGTTGAAGCCATCTCTCACTGTAGAAGAACGCTTGAGGTGTGTTACGGCCGCCCTGCGGAAGTTTCACTTGAACGTACTAGACGTGTTGCGAATGACGAAGAGGTTAATAGGTCATCGATTTTGAATTTGGATACTTACAAGGGTATCGAACATAGAAATTATTGTGTCATATATTTGAAAACATTAGTTGAAACAATTTTTTAACATTTTAAAATCATTTCTTGTGAAGAATCAATGTACGGCATTTGAAACATATAAAAATTTATACCATCAACAAGAAAATGCTTCTCTTGATATGCTGGATAACTTTTTCACAAATAGGACATGTGGTGATTACCCTTTTGTAAAAATCAACACAAATCTGCACAAAACTGCCATTTTATATGCTGCTTTTAAAAGCAAGTTAAAAATAAATAAATAAATAAATAAATAAATAAATAAAAAGTAGATTATTGCATTCCCCCTCCCCTTAATGCTACAGGTACAAAAAAATATTTATGTTATTTTGTAATTTTACAGGTAGTACAATGCCTTCACTTGGTCAAACAAAACCTGTAAATAATGCTAAAATATCATCTAATCAAATTATTCCCAGTGTGCAAGTATGTGCTCAACCACCTCCACCTCCACCACCCCCTCCGCCTCGACCTCCTAGGCCAAATCAGACTCTTTTAGGAGGCCCAGTTGTTGCATCTTCGCCACAGTTTGGTTTCCATGTTGCGCCACCTTATCCACAGCCACCATATATAATCAATCAGGTAAATTAATTTCAGTTTTAGTGTAAATCTAATTTTTATCTATGTGCTTTGTTAATTAGTGAATTAATGAAAAAGTGTTTTGTGTGATTTATTTTACGTAACTAAGTGCTATAAAACTTCCTTCATACAAGCTATTACAAAGTTTGAATATGTGGAAAGTTAACAGAAATGTGTAAGAAATTTGATGTGTTTTTCCAAAGAAACAGTACTTATTAAAATTGTAAAGGACAGAAATGTGTAAGAAATTTGATGTGTTTTTCCAAAGAAACAGTACTTATTAAAATTGTAAAGGATATAACTCCTCCCATCTTATAGATATTGCAATTTTAATAGAATCTAAATTTCTTTTAATTAAATATATTTGTGGTAGTTATCAGTAATTTATCCATGAGTACTTTTCATTTGTTATATTCTTACTGTAAATACTCCCTTCAAGAATTAAATTATTTGCATAACTTCCTCTCCCTCTCAACTGTTTTGTAAAATTAATAATAAAGGGGGAACTATGCGAGTAAGTATGGTAGCTAGAGAAAAATGCACTAGTTTCATAAAAAGAGACTAGTTCTGAAAATGTAATTCTAGAAAGTTTATTTCTTAAAACCTTGCCAGAAGAAGTAATTTAAAGCCGGAGGAGAGTATAAAATTTATTCTATGTAATTTTTGAAGAAGTTTTGGCCATATGTCTGATGAAAAAAATTGTAAAATTTATTCATATATTTTGCAGAAAGTTATGCATAAATGATATTTTTTTCAAAAAGTGGATAAAAACCCATAGGAATATTTAAATAAAAAAAGCAAAATGCAATCTATTAATAAAAAAGCTGAGTAATTCAGTATTCATAAGAAGAGAGACTGCATTATATTATTCGTGAATTTTGCAGGTATTAACTATTCAGATTTATTCAACTTAACTTTAAATGTAGTAGTATTCTGAACTTGGTCAATAGGTTACTGTTTAAATAATTATTTACATTTCCAGGTACCTGGTGCCCAGTATGTGCCAGCACAACCAGCATTAGCTGTATCAGCTATGCCATCAGTTCATCCAGCTGGAGTCCAGTGTACTGTACGGCCTCCCTTACTGCCATCAGCTCATTCCTTTGTTTCATCTGTGCCTAGTACTGTTTTGAGGCCTCCAACACAACATGAATATGCATCTCTTAACGCACAAAATTATGCTGCTCTGGTACATCAGCCCCCTCCACCTCCACCCCAAAAGGCATTCCCACATGTCTACCAACCAGGACTTTACAAATGACTCACAGCTTTTTAGCATTTGGGGACATAAGTGTCAGAATATATTTTAAAGATTTTATAAATGATCACAGTTGTACATATTTCAGACAGATATGTTCTGGAACCATGATAGCTTTTATTCCTTCATTTTATTCATTTCATAAACTGTACATAATGACTATCAGAAATACCTTTTTCATTAAATGTTATGAGAAAATCTACTTTAACATTCATTCTTTTAGATAAGGGAAAACTATACTATAAGTTATTTGACCACATATTTGTTTATTGTTGTTACGCCTAGTGTTGATTTGAGTTGGGTGCCAATGTCAAGGCACAGTTTGTGCTCCGCTCAATTAGATTTAATGTATAAAATGTCCAGGATGTACAGTGACATTCTTATTCATTCATCAGTGTGGATTTTAGATGTGTTTAGTATTTGTTGTTTTTTGTTTGCGCTCTGATGTAAAATACTACAGATTTTAAAAAATGAATTTTTGTACATGAAATAACTTATTTTTATCTTTTCAGCATCTTCGTATTATACATAGCCATGTATATAAATTCTAACATTAAAGCACCTGTAATATTTAATCATATATATGTGAAATTAAAATACTCTGTTACATTAAAATTTTTTTTCTTTTTTAAACGCATATGCATACTCACATAAAAATAGATGGGAAGTATGTTACCGTATAAAAATTAACATTGCTTGTATTTTTACAGTGTGAAATATGATATCAAAGAACTAAAATTGACTTTTAAATGATGAAACATATTCACTTATACATTAAAAATATATCAGTAAACATGTATATAATAATGCAATTTAAAAAAAAAAAAAAAGTGAAGATTATGGTGCACTGTTAGGCAAAAGTTGTCCACACACATTGCATTTAGGAAAGACAAGAGCACTGTAGCAGAAAACCAGCAGTATGTATGCTTTCTTAGTTTTTTTAAAAGGTATTAGAGTTATCAGTTTGAAACCTCACTTTTTAAATGTTATCACCATGTATTAGATTTAAAGAAATAATAAAGCAGTTATGAAATATATGGCAATGCAGATAAAAGGATATTGTCACCAAATGTTATCTCTACATATTATTTGTAAAGAAATAATATAGTGGATATTTTAAAAACAATAGTATCGCAATATTTAACACTTTATTGGGATATCTAAAGCATCTGGTACTTAAATATTTTTAACTTCTGTGTGCCAGTTTGTTGCCATTAGGCGAAGCATAACATATTTAATTTTTCTTTTAAATTGAAACTGCTTGATATTGATTGACAAACTAATTGATTTGAAAGCAATAAATGCAGTTCTGTATCTCTTTATTAATTACCAGCTGGATCAGTGAAATTACACTAGCTGAATTTATTAAAAGCATATATTTCTCTCTTTTGTATAGTAACTATTTTAAGTAGCTGGCCGTGCCAGATGTGAGTTACTTGAAGAATGAAACGGAATATAAAAGTGATTCAGCGCAGAAGTGGGATTTGAGAATAAATAGACATTCTGGGCTAAAAATCAATGACAACACTTAACAATACATCAGGAATTCCAAAAATGTACTGTTTTTTTTATATATAATTTTTAAAAAATGCGATTTTTCTATTAAATTTGTTGTGGTATAAGTACAAAGAAAGTTATGTTTAATAATCAAGTTAAAAAGGTAAAAAAAAGTTGTATCAGCAGTAAGGTGTCTAAGAGCAGTTAAAAAAACTGCAAGCTCAACAAAACCATAAAAAACCTTAAGAAACCCTCTGATGTGACATTAAAATCTAAATCCGATTTTTTTTTATAACACTGAAAAATTATTCAAATGTTAAAATCAATAAATTGTTTAAAAATGTTAATTACAAAATTAGGTTTAGACATGCAGTGATCTGTCAAACAAATACAGTCAAAAGTCGTTAATCTGAACTCGTCGGGACTTCGGTGATTCCAGATTATAGATCATCAGTTTATGGACATCAAAACATTACTTTCGTTTTGTAGATCCTTTGGGAGCTACAGCATCGGAAATTCTATTTGACATAATCGAAAGTTCAAGTTTACTTTTATAAAATTGCTCTTACAGCCTGAAAAAAGTAATAAGCCGGATACAGTTCGAAGATTAACGAACAACGCAATCATCAACATTAACTGAAATAGATAATTTTAGCTTATACCGTACGTTATACATTAAACGCTCACGCAAAAACGTATTCTGCACTTGCGCACACGCATATGCACAGTCGTAAAGGTTTTACGCGCACGCGTAAATGCCTATGCGCGGCGTAATGTCAACGTGGCGCATGCGCAGAAAGTTTTCAGCTTTAAGGTCCGGATTAACGACTTTTGACTGCAATTACATATACAGTAATATCCTGACTTACACAAACCGTGATGGACATAGTTCCTTATTTCTCTCTTCTCCAGTTCTCTACACAATGCATTGTTTTAGAAGCCTTAAAAATTGTTGAGTAATCTTGAAATTACTCAAAAAATCTTAAATTGTGTTTAGAAAAAAAATTACATTCTATTCTTTTCAATGTCTATTTTTTTTCAAAAGCAAGACTGATTAAGTGTACAAACTGGTTAAGTCACTCATGTAATAGAACATCTTATGCTGATGGCAGCTTTTTTTTTTTTTTTTTTTTTGAATAATTTTGAAATAATTCATATTGAGATTCTAGTCCATCGTTAGAACTTATGATGTGTATCAGAATACAGAACAGCATTTTTTCCTTCCTTTGATTTCTCTAATGCTCATATGAATAACTGCATATTTAGCTGATTTGATTCAGAATTGAATTCTAGAAACAAAAGATTAATATAAAAGAAAAAAACAACTTAAATAATATGTGCTGCAGTGTAACAAATTCAGTTTACAAAACAGCAAAAATAGTGAAACAGATGAAGTTAAATAATATTGATTCTTACATCTTTGATTGCTTTTATTTCTTTTATGACAAAATACTAAAGTAGTAGTCAAACAAATATTGACTTCAGAGTTTTTGGTGGCTGGCCATTATGTGTTGCTTATGTAAATTTATAGCAGAGCTGAATTAGTGGATTAAAATTTTTGAAAACTTTTGTCGTAGGAAAAAACAAATTTTCATCTGAGACATTTTCAGTTTGTATGAAACCACTTTTTTAAAAAAATTAAAAAATGAAAAACACCTTGGATGTAAAGTGCCATTTCACGCTGTGATTTATCTAAGCTGATGGAGTCGGTTCCGTATGTTGACTAGCTCTGCTCTACCTGCAGTTCAGATTTTTCAACTCGCTGCCATATGGTGAAAAACTGGTTTTGGAGATGGGTCAACTGTGTCAGATGCCTCCGTGAGCTCAAATAAATCGCAGTCTGAACAGCCCTTTAAATTTAAAAAGAACAGTTGATAATGATATTGTGCTGCAATATAATATGTAACCTTGAAAAATTATTTGTTATACAGCAACTAAAAGAGACATGGTATTCTAAGACTATAAATCCTATCCAAAATTACAGTGAAATAACTGATTTAATTTGACATTAAAGTGTCCAAAAATTGGTCTTCGCAGATAAGATTACATCTCATGCAGATACACTTAAAATAAGTTGCTGCCCAGACAGTATAGTGGTTAGGGGAGCCTGATTGCAATACCGAAGGGCCCGGGTTCGAATCCTTGAGAAGGCATCGATGTCTGTGCATTCATAGGAGGTAACGGTGGCCGCTTCTATAATAAAATGCCCACCACTTCTGGTCTTAAAAGTTGCCAGTGCCGTCATAGGCAAGTGCCCACCATTGGGGAGGGAGAGTTAGAAATAAATGTATTCAAATTGGGTACCATTTAAAGGAAACTTAAATATTAATAGTTACCTAATAAACATTAATTAAGTGTTCTGAAAATGTTTTCCAAATTTCTGTAATGAGTTGATAGATCAAGTCAAATAAAGATCAGAAAAATTATGCAAAAAGTCATTGAGGAAAAAATAGAATTTCCAATTATAAGTTCCATCAAGAGATATTTTCATTGTCTTTCGTCAAAAACTTTATCAAAATTTTCTTCACAGCATTTTTTTTTTCAAGCAAATAAGCAATTTTTCTAAAATTACATTTGAAAGACATAATCTAAGTTCAGATAAATTAAAACTGGATGATTTGGAGTTTGGCTCGAAGACTAGAGATCATATGAAAAGTCTGGAGTCTTCTAATTTTATAAGGAAAGTTCACAGACCTATCAGTTGTGTAAGTCATTTTAACTATGATAAAACAACAACACAGCAAGCCAAATAAAAGTACACATAACTTGTAACAAAGTAATTTATCATACCTAGCATTCAGTCAACAAAATATGCCAAAAGCACTAAGGATAAATGAGATACTCAGTGCCAAATAGCACTTTATAAGCTGAAATTGGAATGCTGCATTAATTTTTTACTTCAATGAGAAAATCTGTGCGTATAAATGAACTGCTAAAATACTTCCATTTCTACAACTAGTACCCCCAGGCTACCAGAAAATATTGAATAATGAGACATTAGATGACTAGTTAACTTTCTAGTCAGACAGAAAGAATTAATAATTATAAAAACTGAGAAATTCTTGAATTACATCCAGCTTGACACTGTCACACAAACTACACAGAATTTTATATAAAGCTTTCAAGTAGTTGTTCAAAGTGCCATCATCTGTCACACTGCACAGCTAAATTCTATCTTTAAATATTGCCATAAATGACTCCACATACAGTAAAGTGCCCTTGACACGAACTTGCTTAAGGTGAACATTCAATTAACATGAACAAAATTTTGGTCCTAATCATTATTATATGATCTCTCTAAATATTGCCATAGTGACTCCACTTACACTAAACTGCCCTTGAGATGAATTTGCTTTAAGATGAACACTCGATTAACATGAACAAAATTTTGGGCTCAGTAGTGATTATGTGATCTTATATTAAGTTTTATTGATAACACGAACTATGTTTGAAGGCCATTCCGAGGTTTTTTTTTTTTTTTTTTTGACACCGTATACGGAATTGAATGCACAGTTTTTCAAGCAGAACTTCTGTGCATTTATCTTGCCGTCAGATGGATCCAGGATAATGGGTCAACATCCTCAAAGTACCTTATTTGTTCTGATTCTCTTTAACTTTTGAACAGTATTACCAGCTGCGATAAATTAGTTATCGAAACCCTAGTAACTGTTAGTTCATTTAGAATTAGAGGTATTGATATCTGCTTTGCTTGTGTGCGTGCTCATCATGGTTTCTACGGAAATGAAAGAGCTGATTTCTTAGCTAAAGATGCCTTAAATTTACCCATTGATATCAACATTAGCATTCCAAAGAGTTATTGCAAGTCCTTTCATTATAAAAAGCTTTTAGCTATGTGGAATGAGGAATACATTTCATCTTGTAATGCTGAAGTCACCAAAAAGTTCCTTCCTTTCATTTACCATAGACTGAATTCCGAGTCTTTCCTCTCATTAAATTTTAAAGTGTCTCAGTTTTTATCTGGTCACGGTAAATTTGCAAGTTACCTGTTTCGTTTTAATCTACGATCAAACAATTTATGTGAATGTTAAAAAAGAGTTCCTCAGGATGTGGAACATTTGATTTTCTCATGTCCTACATTTGATGGCTCTAGATTATGCTTACAGAATGATTTGAAAATGTTCGGAGTGACTTGCCCAGTGAACTTATCTGTTTTCGTGAAGTCCAGACTGCTGTTTCCTTTTGTTCGCTTTATTTATGCATGTAACTTTTAATGTTTTAGTTAACTTACTTCTGTAAGCCCTGTGTTGTACATATGTGGTGCACGGGAAGTCTGTATGTTCTCAAAGGGGGGGGAACGAACTATGAACTATTTTTTAGTCTGTTGCATTGTTAGATTTCATCATTTAACATGAACTTTGAAAGTTTTTCATATTTTTTCGCTCTTGTTCCTCTGCTAGGACTGCATTCAGAAATTCTGTCTCGCTTAATTGAAGACAATGCAGAATACATTGTATTCTTTAAAACATAGCAGGCATGATTAACATTGCTTAACAGTTGCAATTATTGAGTCAACTATAAGTTTTAAGGAGTTCATTAGTGCAGATGACTACTTTGCTCTTTGTGCTGCAGTGGAGTGTGATGTGCAAGCAGTTGTACCTGAGGTGCAACAAATGCCATCAGAAAAAAGTGAGAACAATATTTCACCCAGCTGCCAAGAAATATTATACGTGCTGGACACGGTAGAATATTTTGCTGCAACACCCGAATTGACCGCTAGTTTTACTTGGCTGTGAAGTTGGCAATTAATGAGTGCATTTTTTTCCAGTATAGTAATTAATGTAGTACTGTAGTGTTTTCCATGACAACATACTTAATATATTATAGTATTATGTAACTGTATATGCTGTGAATGGTTATTATCTGGTTGTAACAGAAATTTTCAGTCATAAAACGTTCTTAATGAAGCTAGGTTTAAAAAAAAAAAAAAAAAAATAAGTACTTTTAGTGCAGGTAATAAGCACCAACCAAATCTTTGATTTTCTGCCAATGTTTTCAAATCCTTCGGCCGTGAAACTTGTTGGCCACAAGTCCAAAACCAGATCAATCTCATTTCAAATGTCCTGTGCAGAATGGAAGATAGCACCAACAAGACATAGCTGCAGGTGTGAAAAAAGTTAGAAGATCGAAAGAGTGATGTTGGGGCTTGTATGGTGGGTGTGGCAAAAGATCTTATTAGAGTCCAGCTAGTGAATGCGTACATGTGTTTTTTTTTTCCCCATTAATCTTGATGGAACAAGATTAATGCAATCTTTTCTCTGCCGAAATGTCATTCAACCTTTTTCCTTGATAGCAGCATCAACACGGACTAGCATCTTGCTGTACACCTTACTGTCGAGAGTTTTACCTTTTTTCCAGATATTTTGTGGATAACCACTGCAATTCCACCAGAAGCAAAGCATGACCTTTTTGTTAGTCAAATTACGCTTTGCGACCCTGCCGATGGGCTAACTGGGCACAGACCAACCCTCTTTTTGGCCTTTGTTGTTCCAAGTAAACCCACTTTATCAAAAGTCACGATCTGATTCAGATTTTGTCCTTGCGCGGACATACAAGCAGGTAAGTACATGTCTGTCCTTATCCGCTCGAGTCAGCTCATGTGGCACCCTACAATTGTACGTAAACTTGTAAGTTTTATGCGATGCATAGTATGACTAATGGGCATGGCACTAACTTCTAACTTCTTAGCAAGCTCTCGGGTGGTTACATAATGATCTTCTTCCATAAGTTCTTGCAGATGGGCCTCATCAACATCAGTAGGCCGGACAGAGCATTCTGTTTCTTGAATGTCAACTTCTTGTTTTTGAACTTTTGGTACCAAACCTCATGTGCAATGTGTGCCAGTATGTTAACAAATATACTTACTTTACTTTACAAGTAATGGTTGACTAGCTGAGCCCTTTATAGACGACCGTTATCGTTTATTAACAGGAACCCACCACCAACTGCGCTCCTGGAAAGTCGAAAAGAGAGCTCTAAGGTCTCTCTGTACCTTGTAATAGTCTGGAAGCATTTGTCAAACACATGCAGGGTGTGGGCTATTCAACATAATGCCTGTTCAAACCATTACACTTCCACAACCATAATGATCTTTTTTCTGATGAGAGGGGGGTGGTATCTTGTTGCATACTCTCTCCAGATAAAGATACGCTAAGAATCAGTGCCCCAGGATGAATCGCGGCTCACCTTGTGAAAAAGCACGCTGCTCCGCTGAAATCTGGCTCAAGGCACTTGTCATCTATACTATTGCTAAACATGTCTCTCTTCCGTGAATGCCAGTGATAGCAGAAACGAAACCAGAGATTTTCCTGGCATACAGCCCTATCTCACGAAGCTTTGAGGCAACTGTAGACCGTAAACTCTCGAGTTACATTGTGACGGCACACATCTCACGTAACAGCTGTAGTTCCTGTGCGCACCCTGAATGTGCTAAATTATGATTCTTTCATCGTTTTAAATGTTTGTGGCCTTTCCAGGTTCTTGATATAGATAGGTGTACTTCTGAATGATATAAAAGGAACATATAGATCCATTGTATTGAAACTATCCGGAAATGCAAATGACATGGACTTTAATTCATATTACAAAATTACTTATAATTTCTTTACAAATAATGAATATAAATATTTATAGGTAGCATGCTTAGTAAGATTAAGCTCTAAATTATGGAATTTTTTAAATAAAGTTTCTTTTCCCATTATATTTAACCTTTTAACTGTCATGCCCGAGATTCACTGGTGTTCGAAAATGTCATGCCCGAGTATTTCTCAGGGTAATTTTTTTTTTTTTTTTTTTTGAGTGCATCGTATTGTCATACCCGAATATATATCGGGAGATGTTTATTTCGGGTACATTTGGTTTTTCCAATAAAAAAATTTGACAATTTGTGTACCCAAATCATCAAAATAACTTGACAGTTAAAGGGTTAACTTTTCAATTAGAACTGCTTCAAGAGTTTTATGCCTAAATATGGTTAAAATCCGGTCTTATCTTTTTTTTTTCTTTTAATGGAAAAAAATTCTTTTGCAAGCTGTATTGGAACTTAGTATAAAAAAAGATAAATTTAAAAAAAGATATGAATGGATGCATTAAATACAAAGTAATGCTTTTTGCTTTAATAATAAGCAAAAACCACTACTTTGTATTTAATGCACCCATTCATATCTTTTTTAATTTTACAGTTTTTCTCCATACTATATCAAATCTGCATCTTCTTACTTTCCAGTTTTGGCATTTAAGACTTTTATATCAATGGGAACAACTAGATTTTTCTTAATATTAATACACTGGAAGTGATACTTTTAACACTTGGAACAAGCTTTTGTAAAAAGACAAGAGAAACTTCTGAAATTTGGTATTTAAAATAGGTACGTGATTGAGAACAACATATTATATTTATAAGCGTTAAATGTATTTTGGAATTGTGCTAAAAGCTATGAGAATAAATTCATTATGAAGCAATTAAATGTATTAGCCTTAGTCCATAATTTCATATTTATTTCACTTTTCCAATAAAAATGCTTCCACCAAATGTTACTGTTATGTGTTATTTTTAAGGATACAATTTAGCAACTACACAAAGAAATGGACTGACATAGTTGACACTATATTGAGAATTCTAAAGATTTAAAAAAAATATATGATTAAGTCATTGATTTGTGAATCCGAAACCATATATGACCACAGGATGACTTCATGTATCATTATTTTTTTTTATATTTGATGGGAGGAATGAATACTAAAAAATGACTAGTGTTTATAATTAAGACTGAGCCATAAAGTTAACAAATTAATTAGATTTCATTTATAAATGATCAACTAGATACTGATAGTTCACTTAAAGCTCGTTATTATTCTGTCAATTCCACGTCTCAAAATGGTTAGAGATGTGCTGGCCACATTTCTTAAATCTGAGGAATATTTATAGTTGCAATATTTGAAAATAACAGAAATCTGGAATAAAAACAAGTGAAACATATCATCCATCTTCTGTGAAATATACCATCTGCTTTTTTAACAATTAACAAGAATTCAAATGTAACTTTACCAGATGTTCTTTAAATTCTATATGGGGAACATATTTTTATATGTCCTAAAAGCAATTATTTTCTGAAAGCTTTACAAATATATTGCACAGTCAATCACAAAAACAATTGCCATTGGGACTTAATCTCTTCTTATACTGGCATGGCATCCATCCATATAAGAGATCATTCAGCTACCATGCAACTAAAAAAAAAATTATTTCAACAAAAAAGTGTTTTAAAGCATAAAAAAATATGTTACATAAAGATAATAAAACTTAAATTTATAATTTCACTTTTAATGTTACACAAAATTTAAATCCTTAATAACAGCACAATCAAGATTAAATATCCTGTTACATTAAAAACTTCATTAATATCTAATTCATCAATCATCTGTATATAATCAGCCTTTATGAAACCAAATTAAAAACTTCATTAATATCTAATTCATCAATCATCTGTATATTTTGTATGTAATCAGCCTTTATGAAACCAGTCATACAAGAAATTCCCAATAAGTTACCGAAAAATAGAAATCTGGTTTTCATATAAAAAGCAGGAAATTATGCTTAATTCTTTTCAGTCATTTCCTAAAAATATATTTGAAAATTCCAGAACAAGTTAAAATAGGTTCCCGGATAAAAGACCACTGGACAAATCCCATTGTGATACTTGCCCGTGCAACAAATACCTATGTGGATAGCAGCCAGTGACACACTTATGAATATAATTTACTTAAATAATTATTAAATACAGCAGTATTATATATCCATAACATTTAAATGTTAAAATACAGTAAAAGCTGGACTATCAACTAACTGGAAAATTTTTAATTTCAGAAAATTTAAGTGACATATAAAGCAGGGACAGGCCTCCAGAAACCCTGCTGATAACTTCTAAATTGTGAACAGATTTACATTTACACACCTTTCTTACATTCCCTCTTCCCCACTGTTATATCCATCATACTGTTCTAAGAATTCCTCCAGAGAATAGGCCTCACCCAAGGCTAACAGTAACTATAATAGTCCTTATTGTTGGCTCTGATTCTTCTCACCAGTTGTGGGAAGTTACACAGTTCAGTTCCCATTAGAAGTCCTTTGTTACTACTAGAGGGGAACATAGATTTCTTGTGGTGAGCAAAAAGGACCAAGGTCACTGCATAGAGTGGAATTTGGAAGTGCACTTGAACACAGGTGTTCTATCAGAAATTGTTTTCACCTGTTTTACTAACAGATTTTTCATTAAATTGGTCCTCAAGTTGAATAGGCTATAGGTAACAATTTCTAAACATCTTTTAGTGTGACAGGAAATTAATATTGTATCTATTTTGATTAATTATCCATCTACTGACTGAAAATCTTTGCCAGAACTTGACTGCAAAAATGGAAGATTCTTCAACATATAAAAAACAAAATAATTAAGTTTTGAAAAAGGTGAAAACAAGCAAAATTTAATGAAAGACTTTAGCATCGGATTAATTATAATTTATGACATTAAACTGGGAAAAAAATGAATGAACAATGGTGATACAAAGTGCAAAATTATCATACAAAATTTAAGTTTTTGATATGCTATATCCTTAACTTGAATCATGATATTAAATAAAAATTGGCCATTTTCTTTAAGCTCCCACTGGAATGAATGGTGCAAATTTGGCAACATCTCCTTTAATTTTCATGATGACATTTAATAAGAAGATATTTTAATTTCATATGCCAAAAGCATAGCAAATACATACAAATTTATGTGTGAAGTTTTTTTTAAACGTTACATAATTAATTGTAGGCTTTTGATTAGAAGCTGATAACAAATAAGAAGACAGTTTTTATAGTATTAGACCTGAAATTTCTTTCTCCATTAACAGGACTTTTTGCCAATTGCATTTTATATATTATTATCCGGAAATTTTATTTATCAAGAATTTGCATATCCCAAGCATTTCATAGTCCATCTCTTACTGTGTAATATATACGAGAGTCAAAATATGTATTATTATAGTAGTAAATGTGCTAATGAAATAGCAATAAAATCATAAACTTAATTACTGCAGTTAAACCGATTTTTACCATTTCATTGAAATTTTATTCATCATTTTCACATATTCCTTTAGTTAGGGATAGATTTTTTTTGTTCCTTAGTTAGGGATAGATAAAAGAGAAATCTTAAAAATTGCATCCCTGACGCTTACTGAATATACAAATTTTTAGTAAATGTGCAAATAAAATAGCAATAAAATCATACAAACTTAATTACTGCAGTTAAACCAAATTTTACCATTTCATTGAAATTTAATTATTTTCACATATTCCTTTAGTTAGGGATAGATTTTTTTTGTTGCCTACATAAAAGAGAAAGCTTAAAAATTACATCCCTGATGCTTACTGAATATACAAATTTTATTTCATTTATGTACTGAATTTTTTGATATTTCAATCTTCACTTAAGTTACATGCTCAGATTTATTTTGAAAGGAAGAATGCCTGGAAGTAAATAATTTTACATTTTATTCAAGTTGGCTCAATCTTGAAGGAAATAATTCTTAATATTTCTTCTTTATTACCTATTGCTATGTAACACTTCAAGAAGCGTTTTTTTGTGATTCTTATTTTAAAGTTATTTGGGAAAATGCTTTCAGTTTACTTACACAGAGCATATTTCTTCATACCCTATGTATACATGAACTGATTTATTAGCTTAAAAACTGATCCAATATACATTCTTCCACTTATGGAATTTTTCAAAATAAGATGAAGACTGACTCCAAGACATTGAGGATTTTGATTAAAAAAATAACTTTTTCTATAGCTCCCAGAGAGGAAAATCTCCAATCAGCAAAATATGCACTGATCTGTTAAAAAAATTCTATCTATGTTCGAACTTTGCAAAAGTTAATGTTTAATTGATTAACAGAACAGTATCGACCACCACAACATTCTGAGAAAAAGAATGGCGGCTTTGAAAGTTCCCATGGACAGAGCATTTCTTAACGAATTCTCAGAAAGAAAGTGACCAGCAGCCACAAAACAAACTCAAGTTTTTGTTCCTCTTATAGTTGTCCGAAGGGAGACATTGTTCTGTTCCCTTTCATCAGTTTATAGGTGCGTTGTCTCAGACCACCTGGTTTGAGTCCCCAGGCTGTCTTCATTATATCCGGTTTTTAATCAAGGTTCTCTTGCCAGTCAAGAGGCACTTTTAAAATTACGAACAAATGAGGATCCTCAATATTTTTTCAACATGCCCAGGACAAATGGAACAAAATCACGGAACACAGTTTTAGAGAAGGAGTGAGAGTGAGTTACAGTAAGTGAAGAGAGAAACATTATCTTGGTTTTTCCAGCTTGGCCATGCGCAAATTTTATTTCGCTCTGCGTAGAGTGACATTAGTATCTCTGCCAAGAGTTTACAGTGAGGTAGCCGGGCTCGCGTTACCTTACCAGACAGCATCCAACTCAGTCCGGGAACCACTGACTTGGAGAGACGATTAATTCTAAACAGCCTCGTCTTGAATTATTTTGAAACAGGAGCTTTTATCTACAATCAGTGCTAAATGGAAACTTTATTCACAATGTCTGGTTGTTATAGTTCTCCCCCCCTCACCCTACAGTGAGTTTATTTATTTTTGCATATAGCCTAGAAAGAACCCCAATAAATTTATTTACACTACCTCTTGCCTTCTGAATTCGTCACAGCATGGAGGACTTCATAAAGACTGGCTCATATTTACATACACAGTATGAGCAAAGCTATAAAAGCAGTGTGAAACTAGCCTCTTTGCCAGCATTCAAACCTTTGTTAAGTGATAAAAGTTTAGAGCTGTTTTATTCACTTAGCCACAGGTAAAACTGATAGGGTCAACTACCCTCAGGATGTTTGTGACAGCAGTCGTATGCTTTTTTTTAATCAATTAACTGAATATTAAGAAGTTTTTATTGTGAAAATAGTACTTATTACAAACTAAGAGTCATCCTTTTTGAAAGTCGAATTCCTTGAACTAAAATTTTTGGTAAGCTGGCCCTTTCTTGAATTGCTTTATAACTGTTTTCTTACCTTCCTTTCTTGCTAAGTCAAAATCAGACAATATCCTTTTGCATTAGAGGTCATATAATGTCCTTTGTGAAATTTTGAAATACGAAATAGTTTATCTTGTGATCTTTTAAGAGAAGCTGCATGCCTTCTTGTGGCAATTCAAAAATGTATTAAAAGGTAGTTTTATAAATACAATCTACATTTCCTCCATTTGGAACACCATGAAAATTAACTATTTTAAATCTGCATTTTTATCCTAAGCTCTAAAACATTAATGCCCTAATTGCCAAATTTTTTATCTTGATGATAATCCCCAACTCTATGCAAATACGAATACCTTATTGTATTTTATTAAAATTAAAACATTTAAAAGTTGTGTTTTAGCTTCACACTGCTGGCAGTTACTGTTTCACTCTACAGATAGCTACTGATAAACATATATTCGATTACCTGCTGGGTTTTAATGGTTCATTAAAAAAAAAAAAAAAAAAAAAAAAAAAAAAAAAAAAAAAAAAAAAAATTTGAAACTAGTATATGCACTTCTGATATATAGCTATAAATAATAGATTTGATTAACAACTTGTCTTAATTTAAAAATGTCAACGAAATAACATCTGCTAATGAGTAAAGAAAGTATATCTGACAAGTGAAAAATTAAGACTACTCAGTCAGTTTAGGACCACCGTTGACTCTCCCAATATTAGTAATAATAAAAATTAAATTGAGATATTACGAATTTTCTCAGGGGGATTATTGAATACATTTTTCTTCTTTGAAAAATAAAAATAGTTAGAATTCTATTAAAAGGAATGAATTTACTCATTAACATATTTAAAATGGAATTAAAAGCGAAGTGCAATCAACAAACCAAGTAATTATTGTCCTGACCAGAAATTAGTTGACTTTTATAATTAATAGATGCGAAAGAGTTTCGTCTTTTTCTCCAGTAAAAATCAAGATTTAAAAAGCTGTTTAGTAAAATTATTCAAATTGCTCATAAAAAAACAGAAACTGGTCATTCTATCAAACTTGAAATGCAATCTTCAAATCGGAATATATAATTCTTATAAGAGCAAGTTTTATTTTCTTACCTGAAAAAATTGCTTTATGACACTTCTGCCTTTGATTATTTAAAAACAATGCAAACTTTGTAAAAACAAGTGTACAAAAACATATTCTCATAAGACAAAAATGAAAATTTAACATTAAGAATGTATGAAAAAGAAATTTTACATGTACATTAAATATATTTATGTAAATAAAATTTAAAAAGTAAATTCTTCTAGCTATTGCCTATGAGCTAAAGTGATACTTTGGTTCCTTTGCTAAGTAGTATAAACACAAAGTAAAGATTCAATTGTAATTCAAAAAGTAAAAACATAAAATATATGAAATAATAGTTAAGAAAATTAGAAAGCTTAACTTGATTTAAACTTAAAAGTTAATATGTAGAATAAAGTTTAAGCTATCTCAAAACACATTAGAAAAAATACTACCCTCCCAAAAAAACTACAGCTAAGCAGCGTCGCCTTGCATTTTCCCATTTACCGCTGCTTAGTAGTAGTTTTTGTTTTTTAACATTTTTTGTAGTATTTTTTCTAATATGTTTTGAGATAGCTTAAACTTTATTCTACATACATATAAACTTTTAACTTTGAATCAAGTTAAGCTTTCACCATTTTCTAACTTTCTTAATTAGTATTTCATATATTTTGAGTTTTTACTTTTTGAATTACAATTGGATCTTTACTTTGTGTTTATACTACTTTGCAAAGGAACCGAAGTATCACTTTAGATCATAGGCAATAGCTAGAAGAATTTACTTTTGTCGCATAGGCAATAACCACAGTGGGTTTATTTTTGGTGCTTTTATCCTCCTGTCACTGTTAAAAGGTTATAGTACTAGAAAAGCATAAAAACAGTATTTTAACACATAACACATTGTGAAAATCTAACTTAAGCATTAACTATAAAGAATACTTAAATTTTTTTTTTTTTTTCAAATCCATTGAGACAATATAAAAATACACAGGTTTCCATGCCACCCAAGAGGTACTGTGCAAGCTCGTTACCATGCTGGTTCCCCTAAACTAACATTTTTACATAGCTGCTCTTTTGGTAACGTCAATTCTGAACATTCAAAGAAAATTATATCAGCTAGTTGAAAGAAAAATGATAATTTAAGGCCTATATAAAAACTATGTTACAAGGCTTTAAACAGCCAATTTTGAAGCTAAGTACCATCAAGTGTTACTAAAAATAACAAGACAAGACCAATTTAATACGGGAAATACATTTCGGAATTAAATTTTACAAACACTCAATTCAAGGTTTAAAGCAAGAAAAAAGAAAATTCATACTAAATGCAGTCTTTGAATTTACAAGTTACGACAGTAAAATATATAAAAAAGCTTAGGGCACAGGAAACACAAGATAAAATACTACCTACGTGAGTTTAATGCTATATCAATAGGTCAGAAAACAAAAATTAAATAATATTTAAAACAAATGAATTATATATTTAACATCTATATTTTCACAATCTCTCCACCTAATTGTGTAAAAATAAACTTCCTAAATTCATATGAATTGAAAGCCTGTTTAACATCTAAATTTCTGCTAATCTGATAGGCATAATAACAAATGAATACTCCACAACTCATGCCATCATTCTGAATAGCGTGATTGGGAAACGAACAATACCAATTATCACATATATCTAAAACATTATTAAGGATACTTTGCCACAAATGAATTAATGAATACACAGAATTTTGAACGGCATTAAAACCAAGTGGATCATAAAACTGAAACATTCTATCTCTAATCTTTGCAACAAGTAAAACCCAATGATTATTATTGATAAGAGCTGGAATAAAAAAGAAATCAACAGATGCAAAATCAGCTTTTTTCCATACATTTTGAGTTTTATTACCTGACTGAAAAAATGGTGTATGGTAACATTTGGCAGCTATGGAAGAAGTATTATGAAGAATAGTAAAAAAAAAAAAAAAAGCATCAATAATATTGTCACTAAGCCAGCCAAGCTGAAAATTATTATTTACAGCCTTCAGGGCTAAAATTTCTTCATTTGAAATATAAGGATCAAGAGATTTTATATCGAGAAATGTTAGAAGTGTTTCCCCAGCTCGCAGAACACATTTTGAAATATCGGATACATTAAGCTCAGAGGTAAAAGAATTATATTTAAGTAAATTGCTACCCTTAACCTTAATTGTGGTATCCTGTGATGATTTATGATCATTCACATTAATATTATTTGATAACCCTAACAAACCTTCCTTGACATTTTTTTTATTATAAGTATCGGGATAATCTAGAATTTTACGTTTTATACCTTTCACAGATGTTGTACGAAACAGAGTTTGACGTGATAATTTTAAATTTGGAGCAACCTGAGTAAATGGCATTTTATCAAAAAAATCTTTCAAATGGTTTGATTTTATTGCACCTTTACAATTAGAAACTATATCTTTTAAATTCTTTGTTATACTAGGTATTAATATCTTTTGGATTGTCGGATGCGGCAACATAACTAATAATTCAGACATTAAAGTCTTACAAGTGTTAATTTTAGGTTCAGTGTTACACACACAACAGTATCTGAAATAGCATTAGATTTTTTAATCAATTCTAGAGGGGAGGAGTTTTCTGCTTTAAGGATATCTGTTGCAATTACAGAAGGACTTGGTTGCCTGCATGTAATTGAGTGTATTTTATGTACGTGTTTACATAGTGTGCTGAAGTCTGGACAATTACAATTATATAAATGATGACACAGATTTAGACAGGAGAGGTTAATACACTTTGAATAACAATGATCTGTTTCTGAACATAGTTCATGCAACCGCTTAACTGTATATTGAATATTTTTACGTGTCTGTGATTTTATAGACCACAAACAAGGATGTGTTTCTGTTACATCACTATCAGGTATTTTCATTCCAGATTCATGTCATTTATTATAAGTTGGCGGGTAGATGCTCTCTTTACAGTTAATTTCAACTTTATACTTATAAGCCATGTAAATATCTTCTTCAATTTTTAAAAGCACATTAATTAAATTATCGAGGCGTCTGTTAAATTTACGTTTTAAGTACATAGTTTTCAATTTATTGTGAAATGACTCGCAATACATGTTAGTATCTGTGAATGCATGAGGGAAGTTTCTGCATGCCATTGACCACAGATAATAATACTCCTCAAAATAATTTACAAACGATGGTGCAACAGCTCGAAACTTTTGAAGGAAATTATCCATCATAGAAATAAATAAAGAAGAATTAGTTTCTTCAAGCAATATAACTAAATTAAAATAAATTTCATCCCTAAGTTTTTGACTTGAAACCATTCGAAATAAACTACGTTGCCATGCACGATGTACATGCCATTTACATAGTATATGTTTAATACCTGGACCAAATGATTTTTCAAATGCAGGATGTGTAGTTTTATCATCATCTGTCATTAAACAATTAATATTAAGCTCAGGTATTACACATTTGATACTAAGAAATAACTCCTGATCCAACTGATTTGAAATAAAATGTGCTACGGGGTAACCACTACCAAATTCATCTGGGACAATTAAATTTAGCAAATAAAAAAAAATCATACTGATTTGTTTTGTGAGTAGAATCTATACATAAAATCCTGCTACAACCTTTAATCATCATTTCTTTTTGCTCCTTTGTCTGCAATCCTAGTGCAAAAGACAGTGTGTCAAGGCCTTTCGGACCATACAATGTTGGTTTTCCTTGAGGTTTGTAAATAAGAATAGGGTCATACGATTCCTGCCTAAGTTTCTCAACTATGGCAGCAACAGAAAGTGAATCATCACTAAGAGAAGAAATCATTACACGCTTTACATAGTAATTTATAGTCCTACATGTTACAAAATTATCTTTAATACTTAAGCTCTCTCTATTATCACGTGATCCACTTCCATCTCAGATAAATTCTTGAATTTGATCACGACAATTCTGACTAAGCTGTTGAAATTTGGTATTTTCAAACGACAGCTCATGATTGTGACCTGAATAAAAAATAGCTGTCGCAAGATCTTGTTCCTCAGAAACTAAAATTCTGGATGGACATCTGAAGCCTAATGGTAAAGAACCTTTAAGATTTTTTCTACTTGAAATTGGCACTGGTTTTTTTTTTTTTTTTTTTTTTTTTTTTTTTTTTTTTTTTGTGTTACAGTGAAGTGACAACAATAATAATGGTATGCTTTATTAACTTTATGTTTACTTCCAGAAACTGAACTTTCATTTAAAAGCTGAAAACCATTGATGAAAATAAGTTCTCCATTCAAATGTTTATTATGATCACTAATAAACTGGAAGGATGCCTTGCAATCAGGAAAAACACACGGTTTACGAATATTTAAATTATTTTTAGAACAGCAAAACTTCTTATGATGAAAAAGGTTACTGCGGGTTTTACAGTCTATTTCACAGTTGTCACAAATATATGATTTTGAATCAATTTCAGAAGACACAGATTTACACCTTTTTTTTATGATTAAAAAATGACTGTCTTGAAGCATATGACTTCATGCATACCTCGCACGTTCTTGGATATTTATTTTCTATTTCATCATTCTTTATGGTAGTACATAAATTATCCTTATTTAAAATTTTACAGTTACGTTTGTGTCTTGATAAAGTTTCTTTACAAGAGAAATCTTTCTTACAACATGGACAAATTATAGTCTTTATATTTGGGTTAACAGAGGTAATAACTTTGCAGTTTTCTTCAACATACCCATTTTCAGATTTCTGTACATTACTTTCACCCTGATTAGAATCATTTGCACCCCCAAACTTAATGTTAGAACATTCTGAATAATTTTTAAGAATAGAAAACTTGTTAAAATGAAAATATGGATGGTAAGAATTAAAATTTGCACAAGAACCAACAACTGATGGGCAAGTATTGGAATTGGTGACAAGCTGAGTAGATGAAACAGAGCCTCAAAAGCCAGTAGGCTGAGAAGTGACTAACGACATAAAAGAAAATTTAGATACAGATATAGTAGCCTTCTGCAAATCTGAATCAGAGCAAACAAATGAACCCTTAAAAACTGGAAAATTCGACATGGAAGTACAAGAATTGAAACTGATACCAAGATGAGATGATGATGAATTGGAATCCGAAGAGCCTGCAGGTTGAGAATTAGACACTGAATTTCCAGGAAGTTCAGAAATAGCTGCAGTATCAGGAAGTTGAGATCCAGTAGAATTTAAAACACCTGATGTAGTGTGGACAGTACATTCGAGAGCTGGAAAATCCAATACATCCAAAACACTGGAACTGCTATCCAAAATCATACTAGAAAATCCATGTTTTAAAACATCTGAGTAAAGTGGCTTAGGAGGTGGATCCAAAAAATTTACACTAGTGCCAAGTGAATATTCAAGAAGTGGAAAATCTGATAAACTCGGAATACTGGGATTAGTATTCAAAACAGAGCTAGTAAAACAATCATGCATCATGCTTTAAAACATCTGAATAAAGCGGTTTAGAAGAAGAAACATGGCACAAAAAATCTCTAGAATTACAAACCCGAACACTGGAAACTAAAGAACGTTTCACAACATCTGAAAAGAGTGGTTTGGAAACAGAAGCACCAAGATTACTACCCAAATGAGTACTCAGAACAGAAGGAATACTGGTTAATGCTGGGAAACTGCTAAGGGATGTAGAACAAAATGGTGCACTTACCTCTGCAACAGTCAAACTTATCCTGATATCTTTTACAAAAATTTTCCCCAGCTGCTGATTACCTCTCCGATTTAGGTGTAAACCGTCTCTGGATAAACAAGTACTCCAAGAATAGTCAAAAGAGCTGCAAAAGAAAAACCCATCTTTACCTTCGTATGTTGCGAGAAATCTTGAATTTATGTTTAGTATCTTCCTATTAAGTTCTTGTAGGTGATACGTGTTACAATCTCGATATAAATCCGGGCATCGTGGGAGAACACCTGAAAACAGAATGACCTTCGGGTTTAATCGTTCAATTCCCTTATATAGACAACCATATTTACGATGAATTTCATCTAAATCGTCATTTGAATTATTGGTACCAACGTGGACAAAACTAAATAAGGTTGTGCGTAGACGAAATGCCCCGAGTTTTACGGAACCGTACCTTATATGTCGACCGTACTTCGGTAAATCCTCGTATATCGGCTATTTATGGTACGTACGAAGGAGTTTACGTCGAATTTGTGATAATCACTTTTTGTGGTGTCAGAGAGAAGCGCCTCGGAAGGCCGTCAGGAAAATAGAAAAAAATAAAATAAAATAAATAAATTAATTAATTAATTAAAATAATAAAAAATAGTGATTAAAATAATGTATAGTTAAAGTAACATAATAACTAGCAATTGAAATATAAAATACTTATAAGTAAAATTTAACAAAAATGTAAAGACAAATAAAAATTTAAATAATTCTTAAATTTATGATGAATAGTTAAATTATAAAGTAAAATACCAGACCTTGTCTTATTGGCTTAGTACCTTTTCGTCCTTTCTCATTTCATTCCAGCTCCAAAAAGTGTCATTTCGTTCGCTGCCTTCCCCCACCAATTCCCTCTTTCCCGTTTTATCCGCTGTTTGAAAAATAGGTGTTTACTTTACGATAAGGACGAACGTCTGTTTACTTCAATTAAAATGGTTTAGAAGAGATGACTGTTTCTACTTCGACTTAGCTTTTGATTTCTAATACTATTTATTATTTTATGCAGACGAATTATGCTGAGCAGAAGAATGAATTTCAGACGTGTTCAGAAGGTGTTGTGTCTAAATATAACAACATTTTTGTTATATAGTATCCATTTTTTTTAATTTCACACATTTCTAAAGCAACAGAACCACGGTATCACTATTTTGGCACACACACACCAAAAACATGTATAATTAACATTAATGTTACATTCTTTATTAAAAACAATGGGTCCTCTTTAAATGCAACCATTCATGCTTTTTAGAGGATTTTACATGTCGTAGTCTTAAAAAGGTGATGTTCACTACCAATGTTTGTTTATGTTCTCAAAAATACAGATCTCTTAGAAAGTGACCTCTTAGAGATGTCGTAATTATATGATTTGCTATAATTATTTTCTAATAGATAACGGAATTAATGTAATTTAATGTCAATAACTCGAAGAAGCAAGTTTAAATACGGTGCAACAAAAATACAGAAGTATTTTAAATGACGAAAATATTCATATTTTGTCAATGTCAAATTTTAAAAAGAATTAATTTTCGACAAATTATGAAATCTAACTTTTAATGTTGTCTTCTGGTTCCTATATTTATAGCTGGCAAAGTTTTATACTCGTTATGAAAAAATAAAAATACATGAAGTTTGAGTCCCGTAGACAGAGATTGACCGGGAAATTTAATTTCAAAATTTGCAGTGTTTGATGCCATTTGTAACTTGCCTTCGGGTATCGCTTAATTAAGTTAGAATAATTCGAGGAAATAAGTTTAAATGAAGTGCAGCAAAAATAAGCATAATTTAAAAAGTTATGCGGTATCCATATCAAATTTCACTTTTCATAATGGCAATAAAACTTTCCCAAATACAAATAATGAAACTGGGTTGGTGTAGTTAATTACGGCAAAGCACACTAGGGCTATCTGCCTAAAGGGGGGATGCCTTCGTGGAGGACATTCTAAGGGAAATGGCTGGTATACACATTACACATGGGGAAAACCACGAAAACACCCATGCAGCCAGCCCGTTCGCGGGATTCGAACCTCAGACCGAACTACCAGTGTTCAACGACGTTACCGCTCGACCGCTGGTGGGCTAAAGAAATTGGGAGACGGCATTAAAGATTAGATTTCGTTATTTGTCCGTTATTCATTATTTCGTTTGCTGCTTCTCCCCATTCCTTTCATCAGAACCGCTAATGACGAAAGGGTGAATTTCTAGTAAAGCATGTATATTAGTGTTCATTATACATTTGTCACATTTTTGCTTTCTTTCAAAACAGCGATAATGTGGTTCTAAACAGCGATAATATTGTTTTATAAATTAATAAAATGGTCCCTATGTTATAAAAACCTAATTACATTCAGATACACACCTTTTGCACATGTTTGAAATCCATTATTCTAATCAGAATGTCTACAGAAAATATTGAATCAATATTAGAAATCAAAAGCTAAGTGAGAATGAAGTAGTAAGAGTCATATTGTCTAACCTGTTTTAATTGAAGAAAACAGGTGCTTGCTTTATCGTAAAGTGAACACCTATTTTGAAAACAGCGAAGAGCTCACCAGCGCTCGAGCGGTAAAGTCGCTGAAGACTAATAGTTCGTTTCGGGGTTCAATTCCCGGCTAACGGCTGGCTGCACGGTCGTTTTCGTGGCTTTCCCCATGTGTAACTTGCATATGAGCCAGTTTCCTTTAAAAAGTCCTCCGCGAAGGCATCCCTTCCCTTAGGCAATAGCCCTAGTGTGCATTGCCGTAACCAAATAATCCGAAACCGAAAAAAAAAAAGGGAATTGGTGGGGGGAAGGCAGCGACGAAACGTAGTTTTAGAAGAATAGGCTACATAACCAAATTTCTATCTATACTCTGGTAAAATAATAAAAGCCAAGTAACTTAGTGATAAATAAATAAAATAAAAACCAAGGCTTTTATTTTCGCCTTACTTGGCTTTTATTTTATATTTATATATATATGTGTGTACTTTACATTTAATTATAAGTATATATATATAATGTACTTTACATTTAATTATAATTTATTTAAAATATACATATTTACGTTTTGTAGTATTACCGATTGCAATGAAAAGGGAGGTGCACATCTAGATGCTATAACGGGCCCATATACAAAATTTCAACGTTCTAGAACTAATCGTTTTTGAGTTATGCGAAATGCATATATACGTACTTACACATCACGAAAAAATCGCTTTCAAGTATCAACTTAGAGTCGTAATCATTAGTCACAAGTATCAGCTTAGAGTAAATGGGATTACATTTAACAATCCGTTTCTGGAAAAAAAAAAAATTGTGTTTGTATGTACAGACGTTATCCAAAAAAATAATTCACATGGATTCTGTAATCTTCAAAAATGGATATTTCCGTTGAAATATGATACCCAAAAATTTTTCTCGATTACAATACTTACTTCCTTTTTATTTCGTACAAGGAAGTAAAGAACTTATATTAACCTACATATTCTTATTTAAACAATACCTAAGTGCAGTATATAAATATTTCAAATCAATAAAATCTCCCTATGGCACGCTCAAGAAAAAAATCAATAATCATCTAAATTTTCAAATTACAAACATAATATGCACTATATATCTAAATGTGAAAAGCAAATACAAAATAACGCTTCACGCTATTAAAATTGATCATTTTCTTAAATATCAACAACTAAACAATATTTCAACTAAAATACATAACGTAAACAAGAGTTTGCCCGATGAGTTAACCAAAAGAATTCGAAATTATCAATGAAAAATGTGGCACACGGGTATTGTTAGCAAATGTATCATTCGTATTCGAACAGCAACCCAGGGGGGGCCCACGAGCGATGCGTAGTGCAGGGAGAAAATTTTGCCACCTGCGCATGACGTCATGTGGGTGACAGTCGTTAGTTCTCGACGTTTGTTTACATTCGTTGCATTTGATCTGTGATACATTTGATTTGTGTTGTTAATTTGCTTTTATAAGTAGTCGGAAATGGCAAGTTGTGCTATAGCGTTGTGTCAGAATTATAGAAGGAAAACTAAAAGTCAAGGCATCACATACCATCGTTTTCCAAGTGATCCAGAACTTCGTAAGTTATGGACTAATCGCTGCAAAAGAGCAGATAATTTCAACATCGAAAATGCCAGAGTATGTGCTCTTCATTTTACACCTGATGACTACGTACGAGATCTAAAGGCAGAATTGCTTGGTTCAACTCCTAAAAGGGTGCTGAAAGCCAATGCTGTTCCCACTTTACATCTTCCGTCATCATCATGTGAAAATAACTCATCAATAAAGTATATATGTTGTGCTTCAAAAACTGAACCTAATCTGGAGAGAACGTTTTCTAACAGGAATGAGTCATCTAAATTTATGCTAAAAAGGGATAGAGCAAGCAGGTGTCAGGCTCGGGGAACAAGGAAACGAGCATTGGAAAATTTAGCTTCCCTTTCCCCCAAAAAGAAAAAACTACAAGCTGATAAGATAGACTGTGCAACTCAGTTTACATCCAGTGACACATCTCATTTAGTTGAGCGTGTGCAAATCTTAGAAAAGGAAAATAAGAGATTAAATGTGTTGTGCAGTCAATTGAAAATGCAAAAGAAAATTATTTTTACTGAACTTACTGCTTCTCGTAGAAAATTGCGTAGCTATCAGAAAATGAGCAGGAAAGTAACAAGCAAACAAGTACATAGTGCAGTTAAAAAAATTTTAGGGACAATTTTTACGGACAATCAAATTCGCTTTCTCATGTCAAATAAAAAATATGTTAAGTGGAATGCAGATGACATTTGCAAATCTGCAACACTTAGGGCAGTATCCAAAAGATGCTATAACTATCTCAGACAAAAAATGGGATTTCCATTTCCTAGCATTTCGACTTTGAAGAGATGGGTATCTTGTTCATTTCGCTGTTCTCCTGGTTTGCTACACGATGTAATTCATGTTATGCGTGCTGGGGCATTACAGATGACAGACAAAGAATGTATGTGTGTTCTTTCATTCGATGAAATGAACGTGGATAGTAGAATCTGTTATGACCAAGCAGAAGATAAGATTGTTGGCCCACATAGAAATGTTCAAGTAGTAATGGTGCGAGGACTTCTTGCAAGCTGGAAGCAGCCAATATATTTCGACTTTGATACGCAAATGACGGCAGAAATATTGAAAGATATAATAATAACATTAGCAGAAATTGGATATTATGTAGTTGCAGCTGTAGCTGACTTGGGTGGTAGAAATCGTGCTGTGTGGACAAAACTTCAGATTACTCATCTGAACAGCAGCTTTTCACATCCCCAGGACTCTAGTAAACGTGTGGGTGTTTGCTGATGTGCCACACCTTTTG